TATATATATATATATATATATATATATATATATATATATATATATATGTTCGTGTTTTAATCAATGCAAAGAGCTGCTCTGGAGCTCCATAAAAATGAAGTCCTTTCCCCATTCAATTTCTTATGTAGATGGAGCACTTGCCAACTCCCGATAGGCATCCTGCAACGCCTGTTGCTGCTCGGGACTTAAAGTGCTGGCACAGGCCTGCATGACGTCTGGGTTGGACTCGATTTGCTTGACAATTGTTAGCATGCGGGTACCTGGGGCGCTTTTTGCTTCCAGTACATTTCTGCAAAAGGAGTCTGCGATGATGGAGACGATGCGTGGCAGATTGCAATTATTTGCGCCCAAAATGGCTGGATGATTTGCCTCAATCAAATCGCAGAGATAGCCGTAGATGTGGACAGCCTCCTCGGGGTCTTCAGAAATGGGCAGCCACGAGAACCAGACGGCAATCAGCTCATCCAAATTGGTCAATGCTGACTTGTTGTATTTAAGTATTTTGGCAAATGCCGAGATGGCATTTTCCGTCGCATTTATGTTCTCAATTTCGCGTGACCGCGGATCATTGATCACCTGCACCAGCAGTGGAATAATCTGTGCACAGGTGTGAGCAAACTGATCGCCTCCAAACTGACCCAGAACGCCGCATCCATAGGCAGCCGCTTGACGTACATCCGGCGACTTATCCAACACATATTTTAGCAAGGCAGGCGTAAATATTTGCTGGTACGGCGTGCAAGCGGGGCCACAGAATTCTAGACGGAATATAAAACGAACGTTCAGTCAAGAGCATGCACAAATAGAAAAAATATATAATGGTACCAATTAAATCGTCGAATACGCAAATGCCCCATTGGCGATCGGCGAACGGACGATTGGGATCCAGGAGTTTGACAAAGTGCGATGCCACCTGGTCAAAGGCGGGCAGAAATTGCGCCTTGTTGGTTAGGAAGAGAGCGTGTATGATGTCCACCACCTTCGACAAGATGTATATGTCGGTATCATCCTGTTCGGCCAGCTCCTCTTCAACGCCATCGTCATAATCCTCTTCGTTGCGGGCAGCCAAGCGCTTATCCGCACGCTCAAAGTGCTCGACCACATACTTGTTGATTATCTCGAGCACCTGCTTCATGGCCTCCTCATTGAGACAGTTGGGACCGAGGGTTTCGATGCACTTGGCCAGCGAGTTAAGTAGTTCGGATTGAACATCCGGCTCCGGTTCGGTGTTGATCACCTTAATCAATTCTGGGCAAATATAAAGCCACATGCCCTCCAAATAGTTGGGGCCCTTAATCTTAGCACAGTCGAGCAAATAGGGCAACGACTCAGCAGCAGCTGAGCGCACACCATCATGGAAATAGAACTTGAGCAGCGGTAGCATTAGACGAAGCACTTCCTCGGCGTAGTCTGCGAAACCCTCCTTCAATTCGCGCGCATAGCATACAAGCATCTCGCATGCCGAAGCCTTATCCTCCATTCCAGCAGTACGTATGGCAAAGTTTTGCTGCTCCCCCAGTGTAATAAAGGACCATTCCACGTCGCCTTCAATGTCCTCCACCTCATCGTTGTCCAGAAGGGCCACCTCCGGCTTCATGCCCGCTGTACGCATAACTGGGCCCATAACAAGGGGCAGGTACTGTTCAAACTGCTTGCCCAGTATCTTGCACATGCGCGCCCAGGCGGTTATTAGATATGACGTCTGCGGATCGTCGTCGGGCAAGTCGCCCTCGGTATGGGTTTTCAATAGCATGTCCATGACTTCGCCGGCATCTGCAATGAATTTCTCACGACCTACTGCAAGTCCGATGAGACTCACACACTCAATAGTCTTGCCGCGCAGCATACGCAGATCCTCCGAGTTAGCATTTTGGATGATGAACTTTAGACAAGGCATCAGTCGATCATAGTAAGCAACAAATTCGTGCTCACATGTATCTGCCACAGACGCGATGGTGGTCACCACCTGCTCCAGCACAAGCTTGTTGCCTTTTTCGACGAGCTCCTTGAATTTGGAGTTGAGAATGTTCTCCAGCTTGGCCATGATTGCGTCCAGATAGCGTGTCAATATATTCTTGGGGCAATCCTCACTGAAATTGACCAAAGCAGCTCCAGCGTGAGCTTGCACGCGGGGATTTTGCTCGTCTTCAAGCAGCAGCAACAATCCAGGCACCACCTTATCAGAGTTAAATTACAATTAGTTGAACCAAATATCATTTACAATTAGAGTACTGTCTCACCTGCTCGTGGAATTTCTTCTCGAATAGGGGCGCGAAATCTGTGGACATTTGTCCGATGGCATTGCAAGCTGCGTAACGTACGCGTGGATGGGGATCGCGTAGATAGTTCAGCACGCCAGACATAACCTGATCCAGTATCGTCTCCATTTGCTTGTGGCAGCCTTCACCAATGGCCGATATGGCCATCAGAGCAGCGAAACGATGCTTCCAGTCAGCGTGATTCAGCATTCCGGGCAAAGCGTTCATAACGTGGGGCAAAACCATTTTGCCACCCAAGCCGCATGCTAATCGATCCAGCGAGGATTCAGCAATGACATTATTATCGCTGTGATCATCCTCATTAACGACATCGGCCGTTGCCCACTCCTCGTCCTCATCCAGATCCGTCATCATTTGCAGCACCAGCGGAATGAGTGCAACAATATATTTCTCTGCACGCTTGCGAACCATTGCAGGTGCATTCTCCGCCAGGGAGACCATCACCTCCAGCACCAAATGACGCCAGCTGTCCTCGAAGTCCTGCGAGCTAAACACCTTCATGCATATCTCAAAGATGTACTCCAACTGCGGGCGCAGATACTTTGGACAGTTCTCGGTCATGTCAATGAGCAGCTTGAGCAAGCTCTGGTCGTCTTGTGCCTCAATCGTTTCTCCCGTTATAACAATCATGCGCGGTAGCAAGTCAGCGAAGTGCTTGTATATGGTAACCTCCTTCTCCTTGTCATGGTAGAGTATGAAGGCGCCAATGGCTCGAACGGCCTGAACACGCACCTCGGCGTCTGTGTTCTCCATGCTCTTGGCTAGCATCTGTTTGATCAGATCGATGTATTGCGTCTCCTGATTGCCGAAGATCGAGGGCACGCTGCTGAAAATGCGCAGTGCCGATTCCTGCAACTGCGGTGTTGGTGAATTGGCGCATTGGAACAGAAATTGGAGAATGTCCGGCCACTGATTGTTGCCATCTTCGTCGATCAAATTGCGCGCCACCTCGGCAACCACCTCGCAAATTTTACGGCGCAATTGTGGCGTCACATCCTGTTGCACGGCCATCAAAATCTGTTGTAGAAGCTGATTTTGTGAGTCTACAGGCAGCTGCAAGGGATTTTATTATGATAATAACACATTCCAGACTGATATATTGATATTTATTCAATTACCTCTTTGTAGAACTCCATAAAATCGGATGTGAACAAGCGACGCAGCAATACGGCGGCCATTTGACGAGCTTCCTCCGATTGTTGGCCATTGTGAATGTTGCCCAGCAGATGTGTTACCTTTAACTCGCGCGACAAATTGTTATACGCATCCTAGACGGCATGTATCAAATATATTCAAAATCACACAATTAGTTGTGGAACTAAATAATTGAGGATATTTTGTTATTTGCTTTAGATTTTACAATAGTTTTTGTTCAACAAAATATATATAAGTAATACAAAAATATATAATTAAACAATAACACAAAAAAATATACATTATTTTGAATTGAATATAATAAAAGTATTTTTGATCTTAGTCATTTACAGCTCAAATTCGCTTGCGCTAGTAACTTAGCCGCTGTCTTTATCATATATCCACTAAAGCAGTAAAATCAGCTTTCCAGACGCACACAAAATGCTATTTAGCATTGTTTATATTTATACCCGGAAATAGGGGTATGTATAATGGTTTGGGCAGACCCCATATTCTTGATTAGGACGAAGAGCTGGGTCGATGTATCCCTATCCGACGTCTGTCTGTGTTTACGAATGAGCGCGGCGATCTCAGAAGATACAAGAGCTAAAGTTTTGCAATATTTATTTCAAATGTACGTATATATAGCGCGGATATCAAGTATATCTCCAAAAATTTCAATGTTATAAACACGATTTAATGGTTTCATCCGATAACAGATAGACATTTAGCGAATTCCTTGAGATAAATTATTGTTTAAAATTGACAATTTTAAATTTCATACATAACTATGTAAGTCTATATTTTCTCTTTTTATACAATAAAAAAAAATATAAATAAATAAATAAAAAAAATAAAATAAAAAAGAAAATAACAAATGTAAACGCATGATATAAGAATTTAACTATCAAATAATCAAAACAAAATGAATAAAACAAAAGCGCGATTTATTAAATGACATTCAATGAGATGCCGCAGCTGGTACGAAAATGTGTCCTTGCTTGTGCAGTGTTTGCTTGCATGTACATGTGTGTCTATCATCGAAAACTGCAGTACTCAGTACTGAGTACCGTGTGGCGTGGGCGGCGCCAAGGTCAACAGCTGTAAAGGGTGTAGACTGTAGACTGGGTCTATCAGCAAGTGTTTAATTGAAACCAACAACAAATACAAAAAAAATCAGATTGTGTTACCATCATGCCATGCGTCATCTTTAGCAATAATAAAATACTTTTTTGCACCTGCGCTTTGTTTCCGCTTTCTATGTTTCTTTGTGTGCGAATGAATTTTAAGGCGCTGGCGGCCCAAAAAAAATGTCAAAAATATACACATTATATATTATGGCTTCGTACGTATTGTACAAATTGTCTTTTTGCTCCACACATGCACACACACTCATACATACACACAGCAACAGCTACACAAATATGTGCGGCGTATGAATGGCGTAGCTAAAAGGGAGAGGAAAAACACGTTTTGTGCGCTTTTGAAGGAGAATGCACGATGGTGAAGATTTCGGGAAAACTTATTACATCCTAAATTTAGCATATGAAATTGAAAAATAATGCAATACAATAAATATTAATAATTATACTATGTACATATGTATGTACATATGTGCAGCTCACGTTTTGATATTGCGCAGTTGCCTGACAGAAACTTGCATCTGGCGATTGATGGACTTACCTCGGCTTGTTTCCGGACTTCATTGTCCATGGACAGCAAGGAGTTGAGTAGCTGTTGGAACTGTGCCTGGTCTGCAGCCATTTCGATTTGTAGTTTTCACTCGATTTGACACGAAGCAGAAAACAGCAAATTTTCACGATCCACACGCGACGAAGCCGCTTAGAAAAGAGCAGAACAATAGGAAAGGCAATGACGGGTTGCCAAAGTCACAATTTTTTTATGGTGTTGTTAACAATGAAATTAATCTGTTAGACTAATGTAACAGGTTGTCTCTTATGAAAAATTTATTTCCAACTTGTTAGAAGTTTGTACTGAATCAATTAATTGTATTTAGCAATTATTTCAGGCAAAATGTTTAAGCTGTGTCAACACTGGCGAAAAAACGCTTGCTTGGCCGCTGTTATCGATAGTTATTTTGGCGCAAAAGAGTAGTACAGCTTTTTA